GACGCCGTTCAGATTGAGCGGGTACGGTTTTGGCTTCTTGGGGCGGTGTGAGGTTCCGACAGCTGCGGCAAAATTCGGCTGCGGCTCGGTCGTCTTGACGACCATGGAAGACACAGAAGCGGCGATCTTGGCCGGCGGGGGCGACGATTGGCGCCGATCTTCGGTACTTGCTTGACCGTTGGTCTCAGAAACAGAAAACGGCGGTGGACCACCTCCCTTAGGCGATGAGGCAGAAGATAAAGAAGAAAACGACTGCTTACGCTTTCGACCCCCATCGCTGTCAACGAGGATCATGTTGCGATGGTCTTTAGCATCGCTGTTCCAGAGGGCATCGGCAACCAGGTCGGTCGGAGAAGAACCGTCGTTCAGTTTGACGCTTTGCTCGGAGCAACATTTGGCCGCTACGGCAATCGCCGGGCCGAACTCCTTCTTAACGCTCAAGTCCACCGGATGGTAACCGCTGCCGTCGGTTGTACGTGCGGTACATACAGCGGACGAAGACGATGCGTCGACGGTGGCACCGGACGATGGCAACTGCCTCCTCCTCACGGCAGAGAAAGAAGATGAAGACGATAAAGACAATTCTTCCCTGTCGGCTACTGCTGAAGGAGAAGTGTCGTCGGCCAACAACACGTTCCCCGCCTTCAGGTCGCTGTTGATCTTGAACAGATAGGTCATGATCTCGGAACGGGCGTTTTCCGGGAACGCGACAAACTTGTAGACGAACTTCTGGCCCATTACCTTACGGATAATGTTCTTGTCATAGTAGTACCGGAGGGCGCGCGACAGCTTGTCGTAGTTCATGTTCGGCTTATTCTTGCGCATACCCCATAACCGGGCGACCTCCTGAGCGTTCAGCAGCTTGAACTCGCCGTCGGTGTTCGTCCAGCGAATAATCTGGTGATATCGGTTGTTCAGCAACAGCTCGAGCAAAAATTGCCACAGCGTCACGTTCGACTCCATGCCGTGCGTCAGGTCAGCGAAGCAGGAGGAACCACTACCTCCGCCACCACCTGCGACGGATGACGAGGACGATGAAGATGACAGCTCGCGACGGCACAGCTCGCCTAAGACATAAAGCAACGCCGGATCAACGAACATCACGTGACACTACCGCCAAGAAGAAGACGATGATAACTACTACCATCAAGGTGACAATAACAGTGACACGGCACCCCTTTCCGCTTTTATCCTCAACGACACCGCCGCCACCGTTGACACCTGTCACACGATAGACGTACACCTCACAAGAGGGTGCATAAAACACGAAAACGATTAGGTCGGTCGGAAATTGGTCGACGGCGGTGGAGGCAGTCGCGCGCACGCCTATTTAACGGCACTGCCGTCACGACAACGTTATATTGCAACGTTGGCGGCACGCTTCAGCCGTCGCAACTATGTACATAATGAAAACTGAGCAGACTCACTCATTCGCTTGTCCTACTACCTCTCAGGAACGTCACTCACAATGAGGAAATTGGAAATACCAAAGAAACGTCCTTGGTCACCTTCAAAATTCGGATGTTTCCTACCACGTTTGTATAAAATGACAGTACGACTAGTAGCAGCAGAAAA